CTATGTCTTTCCTTTACACACCTTTTCAGAGGAAGGTATTCTACTCTCACCTTACCTGACCAAAACTAATTAACCAGAACCCAACTTTACCATAAATCAAAGGTGATATAATGTGTGTGACTGGTTGAGATAATTAATGAGCAGAAGTGACGGCTCAGGACTCTGGGTTGACACAAGATACCGTTTCCTGGTGTTTTGGTTGTCAGTGATCTTCCTTCTTACATAAGCCGCAGGAAGACATACATCATCATGTGGGTGGCAGCCTCGAGTCAAGTGTCGCGCCAAGTTTTAGCAGGTTCACCCACCTCGTGTGAGTGATCTTAACCCTTTGAAGACTAAAGGGTTCAAATTTAGACCTCACAGGTATAAAACATCGTCCTTAAGGGGTTGGATCATCATCATCAGAGTGTAGGAATATAATATTTAAAGTGTTAAACCATAGTACTCAAAGGTTTAGCCATAGTACTCAAAGGTTTAGCCACAGTACTCAAAGGGTTAAGACTCACCATATCCTTGACTCTAAGCTTTTAATCAGAATATTTCGGTAAAAGAGTCAAGAGACACTTCATTTCAGATCAGCGACATGGGGGGTCGCATGATGTACCGCCGAGACGACGTCTATAAATATCTAAAAAAAAACTAATAAATGAGGGAACTTGATAACTAACTGATTATTTACCCTCTCGTCCCCCTCCCTCCCCCATCACCGTGCTTCATGTTCAGTCCGCTCATGTTCAGTCCACTAACTCACCTGACCCACAAAAGACCACAAAAGCTCACAGCGCAGTATTTATCCATCACTTTAACTTTTATAACTTATTACACAAACATGTTTATTATATTTAGTATAGAGTGAAATATTAATTGATATACAGTGAAGGCAGTAGCTTATAGCTTATAAGTTACAAATATCACGAAGTGTTGATAAAAGCAAACTGTTTTTATTGCTACAATCTGATATAAACAACTCTTATGCCTAATAATATAGTCTGTTTATCCGCTTTAAAAACGTTGTCATCGACATACAGTAGAAAACGCTGCAGCGATTCTCAGAGATTAACATGTTAACCAATTCCCAAGACTACTGCTTGTTCAACACCTGCAACTGGCTAACTTAAGACATGATAGTTAATTGATTCGAAATATACAATTCTCGAAGGCTGGCGCACCTTGAGGCGTGTTTATCTTCAGCTACGGGGGTTGGGGGAGGGGGTGGGGGGGGACATACACGAAATATTGAGAATCATGATTATCCATACCTGGGTGGTTCACGACTAAGGCTTCCCTCCTGTGTATTATTGTCAGTAGAGGAACTCCTTCTAAAACATCTACATATAGCCTAAAGGAATTGAATTAAAAACACTTCGGAAAATCACGTAACTAAATATCACTTTTAAAGAAAGATAGAACTTAAACTAGGTTAGGTAAGGTATAATTCTACAACGCACGCCAATGACTGATCGGTACTCTCACTACCTCTTTTTGCACTTTACTCCCACTACTTTTCAATTTATTTTCAACAGTTCAAAATTCGAAACAATTAAGTATCATTCAAATCAGTTTCATAAAATGAATAACAATTGAAACAATACTCGAGACACACTTCATAACAGTTAGACGAAGTGTCTTTTATAAAAATATGTGACAATAGTGCAAATATTAATAACACTGATAATATTACAATATATAAACGGTAACATTATCGAAAACGTAATGCCGTCCTGCTAGAAGACTGTTTGAGAGCTTTATGGGGTCGAATACCGTAAGACACCCATATTCATACCCAAGGTTGACTGCATTTTGGTGATCTGTCAGTGTATTATGTGCAAGTCTGTCGAAGTAATCTGATGGAATATTGATTTATAATGAGATGGTGTCAAAGGTTATGATGCAGTGATATAATGCAAAATTTTGTCTATATATTATGATTTTCCCTGGGAGTAAAGTGCTAAAAGGGGTATGTATGGACGCACTGTACCAGGGTTGGCCATTAAAACCAGTACCTTTTTTGTTGGTTTTAATAAGATTTTTCTTACAGATGATTTTAATGATTTATAGTAAATTTGGAAAAGCATTCGATATGGTGAACAGAAGAACACTGTGGGAGGCATTACAACTGTATGGGGTGGGAGGAAGGGGTGAACAGAAGAGCATTGTGGGAGGCATTACAACTGTATGGGGTGGGAGGAAGGGGTGAACAGAAGAGCATTGTGGGAGGCATTACAAGTGTATGGGGTGGGAGGAAGGGGTGAACAGAAGAGCATTGTGGGAGGCATTACAAGTGTATGGGGTGGGAGGAAGGGGTGAACAGAAGAGCATTGTGGGAGGCATTATTAGGGTGGGAGGAAGGGTGAACAGAAGAGCATTGTGGGAGGCATTACAAGTGTGGGAGGAAGGGGTAGGGTGTGGGAGGAAGGGGTGAACAGAAGAGCATTGTGGGAGGCATTACAAGTGTGTAAGGAGGGGAGGAAGGTGAACAGAAGACATTGTAGGAGGCATTATAAGTGTATGGGTGGGGAGAAGGTAACAGAAGAGCATTGTGTAGGAATTACAAGTGTATAGGGGTGGGAGGAAGGTGAACAGAAGAGCATTGTGGGAGGCATTACAAGTGTATGGGGTGGGAGGAAGGGGTGAACAGAAGAGCATTGTGGGAGGCATTACAAGTGTATAGGGTGGGAGGAAGGGGTGAACAGAAGAGCATTGTGGGAGGCATTGAACAAGTGTAGTGTAGGGTGGGAGGCATTACAAGGGGTGAACAGAAGGGGAGCATTGTGGGATTGTGGGCATTACAAGTGTATAGGGTGGGAAGGTGAACAGAAGAGCATTGTGGGAGGCATTACAAGTGTATGGGGTGGGAGGAAGGCTATTAAAGGCTGAAAAAGCATTCTATGAGAACAGCAGGACAACAATAAGAGAAAATGGGGAATGAAAGTGAAACATATTATACGGGTCCATGGGAGCCAAGTGGCCACTGCACTCTCTCTCTCTCTCTCTCTCTACTTAAATGAATTCTTTAAAACTGTAAAAGTAGAATAGTTTTTCCATGCTTTAAGATGAACTTAGTCTTTGCCTTTGACCTTTGCATACCGATTCTTTGAGATGGAAAAGATTATAAATGATTACTATATCATCCTGAATGTAATATTTATGATATATAGCATATTAAAATGTTACATAAAGGACTAAAATACTTAAACCGTATTAAAGCCAATACAATAGCAATAAAATACAAACATGGTTTTGGTTAAAAAAAAGTGTTTTTGTCAACCCAGCAATGTATCTAAAACTGCTTTGTCGTTTATGTAGCTTGTTTAGAGAGAGAGAGGTCACTTCACCCTGCAGGTCGGCTTTGTTCCACTGCTACTCATGTTACGCTTCCGGTGAGGCGCGTGGAAGAGTGAGGTAGAATGAAGGGTAGAAGGAGGGAAACTGAGAGGTAGAGGGAGGAAAAATGAGAGAGAGGGGAGGCTCAGGGTATACAAGAATGGAAACTGAAGGGAGACAGAGAGGGAAAGTAAGGAGGAATGAGGAACAGAGAGGGAAAACAAGAATGGAAAGTGAGTGAGAGGGAAACTAACGGAAGGCAGGGAAGGAAAGTGAGGGGGAGGAAAAGTGATATAAAATTGGGAAAATGATATGATAAAATGAAGTGAAAGAATGATTGAAATGAAGAGAAGAGTGTGAGAGATAATATAGATAAAGTTAGAGAAAATGAAAGTGATGGAAACTAAGAGGGAATTAAATGGAGAAAGTGATAAAGTGAGGACAAAGAAAGAAAGGGAAAATAAAAGGAATGTAATGTAAATATATAAATGAAAGCAGCGGGAGAGAATGAAGGAATGAAAGAAACGGTTGAGCGAAAGTAAGGGAAGAAAGAAGGAGAAAATAAGGAAATGGTAAGAGGATAGTGAAGGAAAATAGAGATAAAGAAGGAAAGTAAATGGCGAGTGAGAGAAAGTAAGAGTATATGATGAAGAAAGTAGATGGAAAGTACGTATATAGAATAAGGAGAGAAGGGAAGAGAATTATAAAAATAAGATAAAAACGGGGAAAGTGGGAATAACTAATGAGTAAATTAAAGATAGACAATGAAGACAGTAAGAAGATGAGAGAGAGAGAGAGAGAGAGAGAGAGAGAGAGAGAGAGAGAGAGAGAGAGATGATCAATGTTTTCTTGGTCACTAAGACAATTTTATTTAAGTGTTATAAGGAACATGTACTGCAGCAAATACTAAAATCAAAATTGTAACTCTGAAAGACATAAACACACCAAGGTAATTATACACTCACATACTGTAAGTCCTCCATGGTCAAGCTCTTACGGTGACGTTCGCGTGGCTCAAGGGTTGGGGGCAATTATGGATGAAAAAATCTTTTAGCTGTTTCTAAATATATTTATTTACCTTATTTACCTAATGGTGACGCACTGAGGATGGCCATGCCAAGGGAAGGAGGCCAGTGGCCTTGTAGGATCCTTCCAGTGTTCTTGGTAAATTTTTTTAAGGCTGCTTTGAAGCCCAGTGCAGTTCTTCGTTCTACAGCTTGGGCTGATAGACCGTTCCATAGGTGTACCAGCCTCTGTGTGAAAAAGCATTTCCTTATTTCCATTTTACATAACTTGGCGAGCTTGTCGTTATATCCTCTCGTGTTAGTGGTGCGTGACATAGCAAAGAAATGTTCCGGGTTCAAATTTTCCACCCTTTTCAGGCTTTTGAATGTTTCAATCAGATCTGCCCTATTGAGTCTTGTCTGAAGGGTTGTTAGTCCTAAGTCCCTCAGTCTACTTGGATAATCGAAATGACATAGTTCCGGAATCATCTCAGTCGCTCTGTGTTGCTCCTTTCCCGAGGATGTTTGATCTTTCTGGTGATTGGGTTGAAGGAGTATTTTTCTATCGTTGTATTCAAAGGTCCGCTTTATTATAAACAAATCTCGACTTGCTTTCCTTAATGTTGCCACGCACCTGTTGCACCGCCTTCAGTGAATGAACTAGCACAACGCCTAGAACTTTCTCCCTATCGTCAGTATCCGGAAAGTGCAATTAACAGAATAGTTATGATTAGGGTTGTTGTATCGCACTCGTAGGGTCTTGCATAACACTGTCGGGTGCCAGACTGGGGGTAACACTGTCGGGTGCCAGACTGGGGGTAACACTGTCGGGTGCCAGACTGGGGGTAACTCTGTCGGGTGCCAGACTGGGGGTAACACTGTCGGGTGCCAGACACGGGTGCCAGACTGGGTAACACTGTCAGGTGCCAGACTGGGGGTAACACTGTCAGGTGCCAGACTGGGGAAGTAACACTGTCGGGTGCCAGACTGGGGTAACACTGTCGGGTGCCAGACTGGGGGTAACACTGTCGAGTGCCAGACTGGGGGTACTGTCGGGTGCCAGACTGGGGTAACACTGTCTGGTGCCAGACTGGGGTACACTGTCGGTGCCAGACTGTAACACTGTCGGGTGCAAGACTGGGGTGGCACTGTCGGGTGCCAACCTTGGGTAACACAGTCAGGTGCCAGACTGGGGGTGACACTATCGGGTGTCAGACACTGTCGGGTGCCAGAATGGGGGTGATACTGTCGGGTGCCAGCCTTGGTAACACTGTCGGGTGCCAGACTGGGGGTGACACTGTCGAGTTCCACACTGGGGGCACCGACGGGTGTCAGACAGGGTGGCACTGTCGGGTGCCAGCCTTTAACACCTGTCGTGTGCCAGACTGGGGTGGCACTGTCGGGTGCCAGACAGGGGTTAACACTGAAGGGTGCCAGACTGGGGGTGACACTGTCGGGTGGCTGGAAGTGACACTGTCGGATGCCAAACTGGGGGTAACACTGTCGGGTGTCAGACTGGGGGTGACACTGTCGGGTGTCAGACTTGACACTGTCAGGTGCCAGACTGGGGGTAACACTGTCGGATGCCAGACTGGGGGTAACACTGTCGGATGCAAGACTGGGGAGTAACCTGGGTGCCAGACTGAAACACTGTCAGGTGCCAGACTGGGGTAACACTGTCGGGTGCCAGACTCAGGTGCCAGACAGTAACACTGTCAGTGCAGTGGGGTAACATGTCGGGTGCCAGACTGGGAGTAACACTGTCGGTGCCAGACTGCACTGTCAGTGCACTGGGGGTAACACTGTCGGGTGCAGACAGTAACACTGTCAGGTGCCAGACTGCACTGTCGGGTGCAGACTGGGGGTAACACTGTCGGGTGCCAGACTGCACTGGGTGCCAGACCACTGTCGGGTGCCAGACTGGTAACACTGTCGGGTGTCAGACTGGGGTAACACTGTCGGTGCAAGACTGGGGGCACTGTCAGGTGCCAACCTTGTACACAGTCGGGTGCCAGACTGGGGTGACACTATCGGGTGTCAGACTGGGGGTAACACTGTCGGGTGCCAGAATGAGGTGATACTGTCGGGTGCCAGCCTTGGGTAACACTGTCGGGTGCCAGACTGGGGTGACACTGTCGAGTTCACACTGGGTGGCACCGACGGGTGTCAGACTAGTGGCACTGTCAGGTGCCAGCCTTGGTAACACTGTCGTGTGCCAGACTGGGGGTGCACTGTCGGGTGCCAGACAGGGGTTAACACTGAAGGGTGCCAGACTGGGGGTGACACTGTCGGGTGCAAGGCTGGAAGTGACACTGTCGGATGCCAAACTGGGTAACACTGTCGGGTGTCAGACTGGGGGTGACACTGTCGGGTGTCAGACTGGGGGTGACACTGTCGGGTGCCAGACTGGGGGTAACACTGTCGGATGCCAGACTGGGGGAACACTGTCGGTGTCAGACTGGGGTGACACTGTCGGTGTCAGACTGAGTGACACTGTCGGGTGTCAGACTGGGGACACTGTCGGATGCCAGACTGGGGGTAACACTGTCAGGGTGCCAGCCTGGGAGTGACACTGTCGGGTGCCAGTGGGGCTGACACTATCGATTGCCAGACATGGGGCAACACTGTCAGGTGCCAGACTACACTGTCGGGTGCCAGCGTTGGGTAACACTGTCGGTGCCAGACTGGGGTGACACTGTCGGGTGCCAGACGGGGGTAACACTGTCGGGTGCCAGAGTGGGGGTGACACTGTCGGGTGTCAGACTGGGGGTAACACTGTCGGGTGCCAGACTGGGAGTGGCACTGTCGGGTGTCAGACTGGGGTGGCACTGTCGGGTGCCAGCCTTGGGTAACACTGTCGGGTGCCAGACTGGGGGTGGCACTGTCGGGTGCCAGACTGGTAGTGATAGTCGGGTTCCCGACTGAGAGTGGCACTGTCGGGTCCCGGACTGGGGGTGACATTGTCGGATGCCAGACAGGGAGTGACTGTCGGGTGCCAGAGTAGGGGTGGCACTGTCAGGTGCCAGACTGGGAGTGACACTGTCGGGTGCCAGACTGGCGGTAACACTGTCGGGTGCCAGACTGGCGGTAACACTGTTGGGTGCCAGACTGGGGGTAACACTGTTTGGTGCCAAACTGGAGCTGACACAGTCGGGTGTCAGATTGGGGGTATCACTGTCGGGTGCCAGAATGGGATTGATTTTTTTTATTTTGCCGCTTACAGCGGCTACACTATTGTGCACCCCACACTCATCCTGTGAGCGGTAGCGCAATAGGATTACAGAGTAGAGATTACAACGGGTCATAATAATTAACCCCCGTTGTCAGGATATTATGGCACTGAATGTTACACAGTATTTCAATTACATTATTTGTTTAGTTCTATACATAAAGGGTAACTTATTCACAAATGCGTGAGTACAGGCGTGTGAGGCAGTATGTCTGGCCTCACAATTTGTTATTCACATTTACGTGAGAAGTATTCAAGCACATTGCGTATTTGGTTCTGTACATGAGAACTGATATAGTTACTAAGTGCAAAAAAGTGGATACAGTCTTAATATGTCGGCTATCTTGCCATTAGAGATGAAGTGTTGTGCCATTTCACACACACTGTGCTTGGACCTGTCCCTAAAAGGTTCTATCTTCACACAGTCGAGGACGTAGTGTTCAAGTGTGTGGCCATATGTCTGGCCACGCACTTTATATTTAGTTTTGTTTACATCTGCTTGAGGAACATACTGCCAAAGGTACTTATATCCTAACCTTAATCTAGCGGTTACAACATCTTGTAATCTAGTGATCTTGTTACTTGCTCCATATACATGTTTCACTTGATACATCTCATCATGGTTAAACTATGGACCGACTAGTGCCTGTTTGCACTCGTCTCATTTCGTCAAACTCATCAATAAGTTCTTTCCTAATTACAGCTTTAAGGGTTCTTTTTGACAGACCCAAATTGTATTCAACGGTGTCTTTGTTAGACGCGAGTTTGGCGAGGGCATCAACTCTGTCATGTTTTATGAGGCCTATGTGAGAGGGGATCCACAACAGTTTGACCCTGACACCCCGGTCAACAAGGCACGCATATTTGTGTCTGGCTTCAGAGACAAGAGAGTGGGGGTGACACTGTCGGGTGTCAGACTGGGGGTAACACTGTCGGGTGCCAGACTGGGGGTGGCACTGTCGGGTGTCAGACTGGGGTGGCACTGTCGGGTGCCAGCCTTGGGTAACACTGTCGGGTGCCAGACTGGGGGTGGCACTGTCGAGTGTCAGACTGGGATGGCAATGTCGGGTGCCAGACTGGGGGTGACACTGTCGGGTGTCAGATTGTACTGTCGGGTGCCAGAGCACTGTCGGGTGCCAGACTGGTAGTGATAGTCGGGTTCCCGACTGAGAGTGGCACTGTCGGGTCCCGGACTGGGGGTGACATTGTCGGATGCCAGACAGGGAGTGACTGTCGGGTGCCAGAGTAGGGGTGGCACTGTCAGGTGCCAGACTGGGAGTGACACTGTCGAGTGCCAGACTGGCGGTAACACTGTCGGGTGCCAGACTGGGGGTAACACTGTTTGGTGCCAAACTGGAGCTGACACAGTCGGGTGTCAGATTGGGGGTATCACTGTCGGGTGCCAGACTGGGAGTGACTCTGTCTGGGTGCCAGACTAGGGGGTGAGTCTGTCGGGTGCCAGACTGGCGGAGACTGTCGGGTGCCACACTGGCAGTGACACTGTCGTGTGCCAGACTGGGAGTGACACACACTATTGGGTGCCCTCTGGAAGTGAAAACATACTGTCGGGTACCAGACTGAGAGTGACTCTGTCGGTTGCCAGACTGGGAGTGAACACACACACTATCGGGTGCCAGACTGGGGGTGACTCTGTCGGGTACCTGTTAAAGTTCTACTTGGTTACTGACGGCTCAATGAAACAGTCTTCACAGATGCAGTTTACTGGAAGAGGTCTGTGCAGTGGTGCAGCATGAAACAATCTGTATCGCACGAAACCTCGTACTATGTCATCGAACTACTCAGACATCCAACTTCATTCACACCGTCAGGTGGCAGCACTCATGCACACGTCACTCACGCCACTAGAGGACAGCACTCATGCACACGTCACTCAAGCCACTAGAGGACAGCACTCATGCACACGTCACTCACGCCACTAGAGGACAGCACTCATGCACACGTCACTCACGCCACTAGAGGACAGCACTTGTGCATACGCTCATTTACGCCATACAGTGTTTGTCCCTGCTTCTCCTCCTGTGTCTTCTCCAGAACTTGGTTCTGGGCAGAGATGTCTGTCCCTGCCTCTCTCCTCTTTCTGAGTCATGTGGCTATAGATTTGTCATTTACGTTCCATTGGAAGATAGGTGTGAGTCAGGTGCTACCGTTAGCAATATCAATTTTGTTCAGCTCTGTGTCTTTTTGGATAAGTTTGAAGAGACACTGGGTCGTGATAGGTGCCAGACTGAGGGTGACACTGTCAGGTGACAGATATGTGGGATGACACTATTATCTCCGCCAGTGTCATCCTCGTCTGGCACTGGCATATGGAACTGAGTCATCCCCCATATATATTTTTTTCTAGAAACAATCCTTGACTCATTTTGATAAATATGGCAACCTAAACAATGAGCAATGTTGGAAAAAATAAACAAAACTGTAAATTGAGCACATAAAGAGTAAAATCATTTATATATGGAAGGTTATCATTCAACAGGTGATTGTTGCACATGTGGAGGGCTACATCTAGTGTGGGAAAGGCGATGGCAGCATCTTTCCGGCGCGTTCCTGCCTCGGTATGCAGTCAGGTTAAATTGAAAATATTGACACCTTCTCGTATGGTGTTCCTCCAGGCTTTACAGTGTGGAGTGATGGTCTCCCAGGTGAGGGGGTCGATTTGGCACTTTTTATGGTTTGTCATAAGACTATCCTTATACCTTTTCCGGTTCCCGCCAGCGTTATATTTACCACTCGTTAGGCAGTCCGCTGTCTGCTTTGGCAGTCTGCTGTCGTCCATGAGGGCAACATTGCCAGTCCAACTTAGTTTTGCATGGATAATAGTAGACTCGAGGCTCCTACAGTTGGTGTCAGCGAGAATACTGTCATTTTTTCTCTTGTCTTCCCAACGAAATAGGGGGGCGTAAAGGCCTGGGACTCAGGGATAGAAATCCCTTACCAAACTAATCAGGATCTTAAAAAAAGGAAAGTGAAGGACCATGGTTTTCTGAGGAATAACAAACAACTGTTTGAGATCGACATCTCTTTACTATAAAAATATAACACAAAACTCTGACACCACTCAATAAACATGAAAACAATTACGGGAGTCAAACAATTAATGCAGTCAACAGTTAATGGAAGTCCAACAATTAATGGAATCAAACAATTAATGGAATCAAACAATTAAAAATATCAAACAATTAATGGGAGTCAACAACTGATAAAATCAACAATAAAAGGGAGTCAGCAATTAATGGAATCAAACAACAATAGAATCAAACAATGAACAAATATTTCCTACGGCAGCGGCCCTGGGGAAGGTTCTGGAACGCAGTGATCCACTCGAGCGACAGCGGCCGGTGTCTTGGTACAGGAGGACACCGGGGCACAGACGGAGGAGATGAACTGACGGTCGTGGTATGGGGGCCAGAGATTGACAGTCGATAGGTGAAGGTCTGGGGACACAGCCCATGAGTCCCGAGCCTTTGATGAGATCACAGCCAGAATTTGACGAGCAGCGGGGGAGGTAGTGACTGTACTGACGGCTGGAGTCAATCTGCCGGTGACACAGGTAGCAGCGCCGTTCACACCTCCATCCAACCCCCCCAAGTGGGGGTCGCGCCAGCAAACAAACGAGTAAGCAGCGGTAACGAGCAGGAAGGTCGTTTCCGCCCTTCCAGGGGATAGAACACAGACTTCGTTGGTGAAAGTTTTCAAGTGCCTTGAAGTGCCTCCTGTATATGACCCATGTCTCGCTGCAATATAGCAGGGTGGGGAGGACCACTGCTCAATATACAGTACATGCAACTTTGTAGATAATTTCAGCCCCCTTCAGTTGAAGACACGGGTACGGAGTTTACCAAAGGCTTGAGAGGCACATTTGGTCCGATGTTGAATCTCTTCATCGATGTCCATAGTGGTGGACAGGTGGGAGCCGGGATACCGCAAGTGGGTATCATTAGAGAAGGTAGTACCGTTAAGCAGGATGGATGGTGGAGGTGTGGCTGAACCAGGGGCAGGCTGAAAGAGAATCTGAGTCTTACTTACATTCACCTCAAGGCCGAAGTGTGCATACGCATCTACGTAGGTGTTCAGGATCTGTAGTTGAGTTCAGTGTGAGCGACAAGGGTGAGGTCTTCTGCATACTGAAGCTCAGTAATGGACGTTGCTAACACCTTTACCCTGCCTGGAGTCGTCTTATGTTGAAAATCCTTCATTCAATACTCGATGTCCACCCTGCTGGCAAAATTGGCACTGACATGAGTAAGAAATGCAGCCAAAAAACGGAAAAGAGAGTTGGCACCAGTTCACATTCTTTTTTTTCTTCCCTTTTTGGATGGGGAAGAACTCAGACTGGGTGCCATTGTGCAGGACACTGCCGTTCATGACAATGTGGAGTTGCGTCACAAGGGCGATGAATTTTGGTGGGCAGCCAAAACGGCTGGGGATCTGCCAAGGGCTTCCCTGTTGACCGAGTCGAAGACTTTGGTTAGGTTGATGAAGGCTATGTAGAGGCTGGGACGCTGTTATCTACACTTTTCCTGTGTCTGGCGGGCAGCAAAGATCATGTCAGTGGTGCCACGTGATGGTCTAAACTCTAAAGCCACATTGAGATTCTGGGAGGAAGTTTTCTGCCTCAGGGAGAAGTCTGTTTTGAAGGACTCGGGCAATAATCTTTCCAGCTATGGACAGCAACGAAATCTTGCGGTAGTTGTGTAGTTGCTACAGTCTGACCGGTCTCCCTCGTTCTTATAAATATTGACGATGGAGGCGTCTTTAAGACGGCTAGTAAGCAGAGGTCTTTCTGCTTTATACACCTCGGCTGGGATTCCATCAGGCCCCAAGGCTTTGTTATTTTTCATCTGTTTGGTGACAGAAGCTACCTCATGCAGGGATGGAGGATAACTGAGATGGGTCAGCTGTGGATGCTGAGGGAACTGCTGGGTAGTCAGGACATCCACATCGGTGGTCGGTTGAGCAGCAATTGGGACTGCTCTTTCCAGCACTGGCGGATGCCTTCTTTGTCTTTAATCAGGGAGTTACCGTCGGATGAGCGGGTGGGGGCTGTGCCATGAGAGATTGGCCCAAAAAATGTTTTAATAGAATTGAATAATTCGCACATCTTGTGTTGATCTGCAATTTTTTTTTTTTGCGTTTCACGTGCTTTATTTGTAAAACCAGTCCTTCTTTAGTCTGTGAAGTTCGCGCTGAGCCACAGTTTTCTTCTTGTGGAAGGTATCTTTGACAAGTACATTGATTTCCGGGTAATTTTCATCAAACCAGTCCTGGTGTATTCTTTCGATCTGGCCGAAGGTCTCTCTGCTGGTCTTTGTCACGAGAGTGTCAAGAATAACCCCATTCGGCACTGGGATTTCGGTTGTTTGTTGTCGGGTTGTTTATCAGCCCATGTTCGAGCTTATCTCTGAAAGCATGTGCTACCGCTGGATCCTCCAGGCTCTTAGCGTTAAAACCTCTTCTGGAGGCTTGTTGCCTCCGACGTTTTGGGGCGATGTGAAGTGAGAGCTTGGCTCTGACGAACCGATGATTAGTGTCGCAGTGGTCTGAGCCACGCATTGCTAAGGTGATGAGGACATCTCGGCGATCTCTTTCTCTGACACTGATGTAGTCAATGAGATGCCAGTGTTTGGATCTTGGGTGTTGCCACGAACCCTTGAACTTGAAGGTCTGCCTGATCAAGGTATTCTTGATGGTGAGGTTGTGTGCAGCACACTTGCTGAGGAGGAGTAGGCCGTTGGGATTACACTTGCCTAATCCATTTCTCCCTATGATTCCCTGCCAAATGTCAGCATCTCTGCTAACTCTGGCACTGAAGTCACCAAGGAGCACAACCCTATCTTCTCTGGGGATGAAACTTAGCACTCTGTCGGCATAAAAGGCCTCCTTGACGTCACCATCTGCATCCAGTGTTGGGGCGTATGCACTGATGAAAATGGCATGACACACACACACACACACACACACACACACACACACACACACACAGTGTCCAACCATATGAAATCGCCAACAGACTCCTGAAATTTAAATCCAAACGCTCCACGACCCCAATTGACCTCCCTCTCAAATATACAAGGAGTTTGCAGTCGAACTTGCCACCCCCCTCTGTTCTATTATTAATGCATCCCTCAGACAAAGCAAATGCCCTAATGAATGGAAAACCGCATTTGTCACCCCCATCCCCAAGGTCACCACCCCACAGTCCCCTAACGACCTCAGGCCAGTTGCCATTACCCCCATACCCAGTCTACTTTGCGAGGACATTGTTTTTGAGTGGGCATTTGCCAATATCTATCAGTCAATTGATTCACTGCAATTTGGCAATATGAGAACCTCTCTACATCACACTGCTTGGTGAGCTTTCTGGATTTTCTGCACAAAACTTGCAGAAACGTAAGACATCACTGGCCGTTGCCCTTGTGGACTTCAGGAAGGCCTTTGACCTTGTTGATCACTGCACTGTTATCAACAAGGCTATTGCACTAGGGCTGCCCACCAACCTGGTCTCATGGCTCACTGATTTCTTGAGTGGACGTCGCCAAGCAGTGAGGTATCAGGGCTTGGTCTCTACATTCCAACACCTCACCTGCGGTGTTCCCCAGGGGACCAAGATGGGACCACTGTGCTTCCTCATCCTGATCAACGACGCTCTATCGGACACTCCTCACAGGTGGAAGTACGTGGATGACTGCACTGTGGGGGTTTCAGTGGACAACACCGCACCAGACTACTCATCGCTCCAAGGCACCCTGGACAGGCTACAGGCATGGACTACGGAGAACAAGGTCACCATCAACCACACCAAAACCGTAGTCATGCACATCAATACCGCCACCACTCCAGTGCAAGCCCCAGCAGTCACAGTGGGTGCCCATCCTCTCCAGCTGGTGCAGTCTGCCAAACTCCTGGGTGTAACTATAGACAACAAACTTGACTGGAAGGCCCATGTAAATAACACAGTCAAGGCAGCCTCGTACCGTCTCTACATGCTACGAAGACTTAGATCACTTGGGACACCCACGCCAGAGCTGAGGACCATCTACAACTCCTTTATTCTCCCCAAACTAACGTATGCGTCACCAGCCTGGTCGTCTTCTCTCAACTCCACCCAACAACGTCAGCTAGAGAAGGTACAGAAAAGGGCCTGCAGAATCATGCTCGGCGCAGAATACTCCGGCTACACCAACGCTCTCTCCACCCTGGAAATGCCATCTATCAGTGACCTCCACCACCAAGCACTGGAAACGTTTGGCCGTGGACTACTGCACCACCCTCGCCATCGCCACCTCCTGCCACCTGCAGCCCCCCACCCTACTCGCGCAGTCCGCCACTACAACAAAATTCAGCCCATAAGAGCCCGCACCGATAGATATAAGAACAGCACCATCCCATCTATTGTTGAAATAATAAACAACTCCTGATTTATGTACTGCACAGCCCTGTAAATGTATTCAATGCATGTTATATCATTATGTCTAAATTAAATGTAAGTCTGTATATTTTCAGCCACCGGCTGCAACTCTATTAATAAACCGTTTATTATTATTATTATTATTATTACATGCATTAGCCCCTTAGTTTTGTTATATAAATGTGGGGTAGTGCATTAATTTTGTATACTCTATTACCCCCTGTAACTTTCCATTAGCATTGAAGTTTATATTCAGAGCACGTGATGAGATGTGCCCACGGAAAGTCGCATCACGTAGTGCTGGGCTAAAGATTAAGTACCCGGCTCCCTGGCCCCCTATTGCAGACAGTAGTTTGATATCACTCACT